CCACCCAAGCTATATGCCTGGATAAGGGTCTTTTATGTATATTAAGGCGGACCCCATACCATTTTTTTTGTTATCATTTAGGAAAATGGTACTGACCTTCAAAAAGACCTGAGTCGCATGATGTTCGCCCACCACTATTCAGCCACAAATGACAGACCCCCGGCCCTCTGCAATGTGCAAAAAGAGGCCATTGATCCTGGGTCCACATATACTCATAACTATGGGGTCTATTCACGAAGCAGCCGAAGGTTCTAGCCGTAGCTTCAGCCGATCCTTCGGCTATCTTCGGCCCCAGGACCCCTTCAGTTCAGTAGAAATGAAGGGCTGCTGTACGGGCTATTCACTATAGCCCGTACAGCTCCCGAACATGGCCGAGTGGCTCAGTCGAGCCGAACGGATATGCCTTGACTCAGCTGAGCCGCGCTGAAAGCTGAAGCTGGCCGAGTGGCCGGCCATTGGCTGGCCGACAGCCTGCTTCTGACAGCTGGGCGGAGCCAGCCGTGATCTTACGGCTGGCTCCGGCCACTTGCAGAGAGATCAGCGTCCCTGGTTAACAGCTAACCAGGGACACTGATCTCCAAACAGCCTAACTCTCCCTGGCGCTCCGGGAGTCTCGCGCTCCCGGCCGCCCAGGAGAGAAACACTGTTTTAACTTTTTTTTTCTTTATTCTGACACGGAGCCGTGTCAGAATAGAAAAAAAAAGAGAGTTTTGCCCATAGGAATGCATTGTTAGATTCCTATTGGCTATTTCAATTTGCAATAGCCAATAGTAATCTAGCATTGCACCCGCCCTCTGCTGCGGTTCTCCATCAGGTCCATCAGCAGAGGGCGGGAGCAATGTTGGTTTACTATTGGCTATTGCAAATTGAAATAGCCAATAGGAATCTAGCAATGCATTCCTATGGGCAAAAGCTTTTTTTTTTTCTATTCTGACACGGAGCCGTGTTTCTCTCCTGGGCAGGAGACTCCCGGAGCGCCTGGGGGAGTTTTTTTTTTCTTTTTTTTTGACGGCAGCAGAACCGCCGGACAATAGAAAACTGTTGGGCGGAGCAAGCTGTCATTGCTAGCTCCGCACAATCGTTTTCTATTTATTTTTTTGTGCTTTTTTAAAAATGTTCTGTTCTGCTCGGTCCCTCAGAGGGACTCACTGCTGTTCGGCATCTATGAGAATAGACCGAACAGCAGCGAGTAGCCTGCCGGAGGTTCGGCTCAGCTGATCCAGATGTTGAATCGGCTGAGTCGAACTCCTTCTGCACTTCGGGTCGGCCGAACATGCTGAAATCAGCCGTACCAGCCTGAAGTGATTAGCCGAACAGTGTTCGGCTCACTTCACTTCAGGTCGGTCTTTCACGCGGCTGCCTACGGCAGCTTAGTGAATAGACCCCTATATCTGGTCAATGACATCACCCAGGATCCCTGGCTGATTTGCTAACAAACACCATGTAATCTGTCACTTTGCAGCGGTACCCCTGTAAAATGATAGACTCCTGGTTGATGTTTGTTTAAACAGGAGGGCGAACAGGACCAAAATGGCCTGTTTGCCAGCCATTGGGTGAACTGCTAACAGGCTGCATTTGGGTCAAACGCATGGGTCAAACTCAACCTATACCCAAAGGTAATCCCCAGTGCATTAGAACAGTTGCAAGGTATATCACATCACAAAGAGAGAGCTGAGCAAGTTGAAAAGTAAACATTAGAGTTTGGAAGATTATGACTGGCTGTATGCCAAGATACTATGAGTAACTGTTTTTCATATCGTAACAGTAAAAATAAAATTGGGAGTGTTAGAGTCTGTGTATTTATCATGGTACAATTATATTTTTACAACTACAAGTGGGTTTTTTAAAATTTTATATTACTACAATTGAACTCTTCATTTTAATCTGTGATTTTATAAAACTGCCAAAGATCCAAAAATTCCTAGAAACCAAGACAACATTTTGTAGACAGGATTTCTCGGAATTCTCATCACCTATTTCCAATAATTGCCTCTCAGGTTTTCCCAGATGTTTGCACAGAGCATGAGGACAAATTACAGACATTCTCAGTAATAATCTGTACCACCAGTGTAATCTTGGATGAAATATAGTATTTGTGTGTGTCTGTGTGTGTTGAATGTAACTATCCAAAATTCCAATACTGACACTGATCAATGAAATTTAAAAGGCGCACCATTCCATTTAGCACTCCTTTTTAGCACTCGATTGTTGCCTAGCTCGCTATCTACAAAACAAAAGCTGTCAAGAATCTTCAATAACATTTGCTATGATCCTCACATTGTATAATGCTGACTTTAAGTTGGTTGCTGTTTTAATTTAAGAATATTTGTAAGCCAGTAACGCCAATGAATAATAAGAATCAGTGCCTCCTTGTAAACAACTTTCTCTGATCACAATGGCTATACCTAAATCTTTCTAGACATGCTGGACTACTATAAGGAAAAACCTGACATGCTAGCACAGGAACAATACATGCTACATGTTCATTATATAATGCAAAGAGAATGCTATACAGTACATTAACCACCTGCCGTCCGGCCATTGTAATTAAATGGCCGGATGTTGGCTTCTTGAATGCGGGTGGGCATTTTTAGACATCCTTTCCCGCCCCTAGTGGCAGGCACAAGCAGGAAATCTGCTTGCAATGTAAACAGCCAGCAATGTTTGCATACAAGCGTTCTGGGGTCTGTAGAGATGCCTGATTGCTTGTATTTTGCTGGGGATGTGCGCCCCCCCTCCGGTGCAGGCCCGGGACCGACACAGTGGCTCTGTGACAGGAGATCAAATGGAGATCAGTACACGATCTCACTCTGATCTGCTCCCCATTCTCTGAATGCAGGAAGTGATGTATATCACATCACTTCTGCATTCAGCTGTCATTCCCAGCTACAGAAGTCGGAGAGAAGCTGGTGAAGCAGATCTTTGCTTCATCAGTTTCTCTGGGGGACCCTAGGTGACATTAGGGATCTGAAATAAACCTGATGTCTCCATAAAGAGGATCAGTCACTGTATATTGGCTATCACATAGGGGGCTTGTTATCCCCCAATGTGATAGCAATAAAGTTAAGTGAAAAAAAGTTTAAAAAAATAAAGTTACAAAAAAAACTAAAGTCACATATAAAAAAGAAAAATGCAAAAAAAGTTTAAAGTCCCCCACCCCCACATACATACGCAAACATGCATCGGGTGCACCGACATGCAAAAATGATGATTGCGCCCATTGAACCGCACATGTTACATGTCAGAGCATGACCAGAGCAGACCTGTGCCAGAGCAGAGCAGTAAAAGCTTTACCTATGGCCAGTTTTGGGTATGGTAGTTTTTTGTGATTTCGCTGCAATTTTTAAGTTTGATGTCTATTTACCCAACATGACCCCGTCTTTTATATTTTACCTAACAAATTGGGTAATAATAAATGTTTTATAACCTAACGTAGGGAAAACCTTTTTTTTTTCAAAATGTATGGTACTTTTTTCTTTATGTAGTAAATTTTTTAAAAACCCAGTGGTGATTAAATACCAGCAAAAGAAAGCTCTATCTGTACCCAAATAATGGTATAAAATTAATTTCAGTACAGCGTTGCATGAGGCAATAAATGTCAGTCAAAGTACCGCAGACCTGAATACTGAAAAATGGCCTGGCCAGGAAGGGGGTGTAAACACCCCGGTCATCATGTAGTTAAAGCACGTCTCTGGGCAGACAAAAAAAGTACCCTTGCAGTGGAGCTATTCCTGCACTGCAAGTGTTAAGTGCTTGTTTTTGTCTTTGACTTCTGGTATCGGTGAGTACCAAAAAATAAATAAATATCGGCACTCGTACTCGATACCGAGAAAACAGTATTGGAGCATCCCTACTAACAAGGAAGGGGCTGAGGTAAAGCACTTTTACTTACCTGATCCCCACTCCCCTGGCAGTCAGTGTTCTCCGCCTCTCCCCTATGCACCAGCTGGTAGAATGCCCCTTGGTGTCCTGATGTCTAATGCAGGCTATGGAACCTGCATTAGAAATGATGACATCAACAGTCCTTAGACTGCTGAAACCCAGGGGAAAAGAGGCTGCATGGACCGGTTTGCTGGCCAGAGTGGGGATCAAGTAAGTAAATCTGTTTTACTCCAGTCTTGTTTTACTCCAGTCTCCAAGACAATAATGAACACTTATCCTTTGTGGTATGGGGGTAGCCCTTCTGGAAAAGTACTTTAAGTACATGCAACTTCCATTGGTCACATGCAGCAAGTCAGGTCAAAATGACATCACAATCTTTGACCTGCATGTTCCTTATCAGTAACTTAGGGAGCATTGAAGCCATTGGGTTAAAATGACATCATGGCAGCTATCATATTTAGAAGACAACAGTGGCCACTGCCAAAGCTATAGACTTGCTCTCTGTGGATGCCACAGAATATGACTGACTGCAACTAAATGCCATAATACTATTGCAGGTTGTCTTCTTAGACAACCTGGACACATACAGCACCAATACAGACAGACCAGGCAGTCAGTGAACCTACCTGTCATTACAAGAGACAATCATCAACCTATAAGGTAGAAGCCACTTGCGGAACAATGGCTAGGTTACCAATGCTGTTGGTGGAATTTTGGTCTCCTGTAAAATAGTACTGTCTGGCTCCTGTTATCATCATTAAAATAATGATCACATGAATTGTTAAAAAAACAACAAAAAAAACAACAACAAAAAACAGTAAGAGAGAGAAAGTGAAAGTATAGTATTATTTTAAGGTGTCCTTTGAACAAAAGAAGAGAAACAGTCATTTTCATTACAAACTAATTATAGAGCTTCAAAAATTAAAAGATTCAAATCGTAGTTCATGGTGGGATTCATAGAGTACTGGAAAACCAAAAAAAATCCAGTCTGCAAAATCATTTTAACACTGCTTATCCGGCAGAATAAATCTGTCATTCCAGCAGATGGCACACATGAGTCACATATATAACTAGATGTATATAGCTATCCAGCTGTAATACTTAAAAGAAGTAGAGGAAGAGAAAGCTTTGCAGAGCAAGCTGAGGAAAACCTAGCGAAAGACAAGCCTATGATATTTGTGGGGTATAAAACTTCTTCATTTTCAAAAAGAACAGCTGGCAGCCCTGCCTGAAAGACAAACAGCTCCTATTCTGCCTATAAATCAAGTAAGTATATCTTGAAGAAATTTGAATAGTTGAATCATTTGCTGGTAGTAAATTGTTTGTTGGGTTGCATGGCAGCATTCTTATGTGAACATGTCTGTCTAGAACAGGGAATAGTTCATGATGTGTTGGAAAGCTCTAAAGACTCTTTGATAGGTGGTGTGCCCTCAATCTTTAGTACTAGTGACCAGTACTGAACTGTGCACAACATAGACTTGAGTTGTGAAACCCATACACATTTCTCAATGAGACCTTTCTTGGACAGGTGCTATATTTATAAGGTTTCTAGGACTTCATGTATGTATTTCCTACTTGTCATTAATGCCTACACTAAATAGGAGCATCTAGGAATGAATGAGATGGTGATAATAGAAGGAGTTTATAACTGGGGATTGAGTTCCGTTTCTTTCTGGAACTGAATGATGAAAAGAAGTTTCCGGAAGCCTTTTTGCTAACAGATATACATTTTTCGGAAGGGTTTGTACAGTGTTTGCTATAAATGTAAAATGCATTGTCCTGTTTTTGCATGGTTAGTGAGTTAATTGGCATTGCTTTTGCAGAAACCACAATCTGTAGTTCTTACATTCTGTGCCAAGAGCTGTGTGGAAGATATGGGATCCCTCTGACTGTACTGTACTGTCTGTTTGCCATTACTTTGAGGGAAGCAATTATGTGTCATGTTACCAAACTTAGACTGTTTGCAACTCTACTGATTATACTAAAAAGCTGAAGAGGTAAAATGTATATCGTTTAGCATTAACTATTGCAAAAAAAAAAGGGTACTTAAAATATAACTCCAAGCCAAACTTTTTTTTCTAGTTTTGGATGGAATAGAGAAGGTTAGAAACCCTGTCCAGTTTTCATTACTGTCCATTTCCACCACGCAGGGCCCCCAATCTAAAATTTGCCCTGGTAGCCACTGCTGACCACTGTCACTGGAAGTTAAGGGAATTGTTAACAGATGTTACAGTTGTCACCAAAATCTTTGAAAGGGGACAGCTATTATAACCCTTCTCTTCTCTATCAAACACAAAAACATTATTTTGGCTAGAGGTCCACATTGAGGGTCGGTGCAGACCTGAGCGATCCGGGACGTGCGTCCCGGGATCGCTTGGTTGTGCACAATTGCAGACAGCGATTGCTGAGTGGCCCCATTGATTTCAATGGGGTACATCCGCAAGGCAATCGCAAAAAAAAAGGTACATTTACTGTTTTAGCCGCAATTGTGTTCGGTTTCATGGGTGGAACTAGTGGCGGGAAACCCGGCAATTCACCCGGCATAACTGGGGTGCCCTTAGAAAATAATGGCACCACCAGCGCGACCGTCGGTGGCGGACAACTCTGTGACTACAGGGCAATTCGTGCATTATTGTGCGCACGGATCGCCCGGTTGTGAACCTGGCCTTATGGTGGCCTATACTGCTACATTAGATCTAGATCTAAAACTTGGGATCATAAGGCAACATTATTTTTACTTTTAATCAGTGGAGTTGACAGCTATATGTGCATGTAGATTTAAAAAAACTAGAGTTCCTCTTATTTTCTTAACAGAACCTAATGCATAGACATGTTCATAGAACTGGCATGATATTCATACTTTCAGGTGATGACCTCATGTCTGTGGGAGGTCCCCAATGTTGACTAACCACTGTCTGGGGAAACAGCCAATCAGTCATGATATAAAACTTATAATGTTCAATATTGTTTAAAGGAACCTTCTACATGTAAGGACAGAACATCTATGGCCTTGGGCAAGAAAATATGTTGTAGAAGTGCTCTTCCTATGTATTGCAGTTCAGAAGTGCTGATGCTTTGCTATGCAGTCCTTAGCTTTAAAATGCATTGCAAACTGTGTGTGACGTCCAGATCATTAATTTTTCACCCACTTTGAGACCAACTGCTAAAGAAAACTACCCACAGTGCAATAGAAAGCATTGATGGGCAACAAGATTAATGTAGGAAACATTTTTTTTTTAGAATTTCAACTACCCTCTGGGTCTTTACTTTGCTATGAAGTTAGCCATTTTGTCCTGCAGCCCCGGGGTCCGGGGTAATGGAAAATGCCTGCATGGAGCTTTTTACATTCTTTCTGTATTTTGCATTTTCTTCGAGAGCTCCTCTTTAGCCCTACTCTTCAAAACCATTTTGTAGGTAAATAGACTTTCATCCAAATTGAACAGCGTGTGTATGTTTGAAATTTCTCAGGGGCAGTACCTAGTCTGAAATCAAAAAAGAGCTGTGGATGTTAGGTAAGTACTGGTTACTTCTGCTTTATAGGTAGTGGCAGTATAACCAAATCAATGTGGTTTCCAGGTATAATAAAATTGCCCAAATTTCTGCATGTGCTAGGTACCTCTTTTTATCTGTCATTTTGCAACAGTTGGATGATACCAAGGAACATGAATTTCTAAGTGATCATGTGACTTACCACCTGTTAATTGTGAACAATCCATGAAGGTACTAAATACGCAACAAAGTGTAGCATAGATTGTTTAAAGCAGTTTTTCTCTTTAAATTCTCACAAAGCTGCATGGTGTTAAACACTGGGGTCTATTCACTAAGCTGCCGAGGGCAGCCGAGTGAATGACCGATCTGAAGTGAAGTGAGCCGAACACAGTTCGGCTATTCACTTCAGGCTGGTACGGCTGATGTCAGCCGTACATCGGCTTGCTTTCCGTGGCTTCGGGTCGGCCGAACATGCTCAGCAGGCACTGGTATTGGTGATGATACAGGCTTGTCTAGAGGAGGATGAATGTCGGATTAATTGAAGACTGATGTGTACAAAGTCCAATCAAGTGCCAAACAAAAGGTTCAATGATCCAAATTCCTTTAATGTTAGTAGTATTTTACAACAGGATAACTTAAAACAACCAATGCTTTTTAGGGGCCCAAAAGATCTCCCCTTCTTACTAGTTTGGTCCTTAAATATCTGGTAGCAGTATACCTTATCTTGCTTTAGTAGCAGCACATAATGTAATTTGGATGCATTTTGATACAGGGTTCCCACGACAATACAGCAAGTGAATACAAGCAAACAGCTTATAGATCCTCCAGGCTACTCTTGTTGATTTGTCTTAGTATTATGTCTGGATAACACATGCTGTGTTCTACAATGCTAGTGTGACCAGATATGTACAGAGGAAACCAAACTCAAGCCTAGATGAAGAAATGCAATTTCTTATAAACACAAGAACACAAGTGACATGCAACATAATTTAAAGGAGAACTATGGGGTTAAGTCTTTTCCCCCGTAGTTCTTCTTAGGGTAATGGGAGGACACAAACTAGCGTCCTCCAACTCACCACCCGATCTACTGAGCCGACCTGTGACAGTCTCATTGTCCCAGGTCGGCTATAACTATGAGGTGAGTGAAAATCACTCACCTCATAGTTCTCTTTTAAGTAACCTATACACTTCCTGTATATGACATACAAAATGAGGAGAAGAGAGATTGAAGAGGGAAATTAGGTAGAGCAGTGTATGGCATTAACAAAAGTTACAAAGAGCAAGACAGGTCAAGAATAGGGACCAGAATGGGTAGCAGGTTTAGGGAGAAACAGATACAAAATATACAGGCACACAGGTAAAATACTGAGTGTGACTCTTGGGGTGAGGCTAAATACCCACCCTGCAGCCAGTATCTGGTGGACTCTTACTGAATGCTGGGACCTGCTGTCTGCTGGGAAACACCCATTGATGGACACTGGTTCCTGGACTTAAAAAGTTCCACCGGCAGGTGTTCTAGTTCCTCATAAGCACATTCATCACTAATAACAGGTGTCGTTATATCAGGAATCCCTTCAGTATTGCTACTCCATTTGAGCCAGATTTTGACTAAACAGTTCTAATTTAATCTGGGTAACTCCAACAAGTTTTTGGAAGCCCCCAGCACTGTGGGAAGTTCTTTATAAATAATGTTTCTCTCAGGGTCATTACCTGTTACTTGGTGTCCTGGCATTCAGCTTACTTAATACTGAACATCTACCAGGCAGTCCCTGACTAGGCCTCCCTTCTGTTGGTGTCCCCAGACCACCTCGCAGTGCTGACACTCACCACTTTGCAAACTACCTCAACAAACTGCCTTCTTCTTGGTAAAGAACTTAATCATTGTCCTTTTTGTGTTTACAGTGCTATCCTTTGAGGCTGCTCTTCTATTTTTGTAGCTGCTGTCTCTTTCTTCCCTCTGGTGGGTTTCTAAACTCATCCATAGTGCTCAACCAAAGACAATCATTAATCCCTTACCTCCTTCACTCTCTGAGACTTTTGTGCTAGTGGATTCATAACATTTTCATAGCTTGTTGGATAAGTGCTGCCTCTGTCACCTCATCTCTCTGGCTTATGGTAAATTGCATGGCTTGCATTTTGATGAAGCACAACTTAGGGATGGGTTTTAATCTTTCAGAGCTTTGCTTACCTTCATATTTCACAGGCCCAGCACCATGTAGTCCTTCTGCTAGCCCTCAGGATTGACTTCAGTCTTCTGAATCATAGTCTTCCCCCTTTTTCAGCCCTTGAGGTAAATTTGAAAGATGTTGTAAAAACAAGAAATTGGCTAACTTTCTGTTTGGTAGTGATTAATAAAATGTCTCCATAGAATATGGATGGAAGTGGTTTCAAATATGTCTGTTAATACGGTTCTTTTTATAACCCTCATGAGTCATTTAATGTGAGTCATGTAATGCACCCTTATTTTCTTCTTCCCTATTCACTTCAATCTATTTAGGTAAGATGGCAAAAATATATTTATGCTCATGAGTGCAAATCCTAAACAGAGACTTTTCTAACGAAAAGGTTACAAAGGGCAACAAGTTGCTTATTCTGATGCATTTCAGCCCCTTATAGACACTAGGCATTCTTAAGAGTTTAGTCGCTGTTAGCATCAGGTATTAGTGAACTGAGAGTGGTACCCTTCTCATATTACCCCCCAAATGTTGAAAAGCATACAGGCTACTGCCAACATGGCGGGGAGAGAGGTGTAGCCATGCTGACCATTCTATGGAGAT